ACTCGCAATATGCAAAAAAAAATTATTAAAATTTTGTAATTATATCTAAATCATTGTATCTACATCACCAAAAAAAAGTTGGATGATGCTGATGAATCGTCAAAATTTGATATATCTTTAGATGAAGTTTCATCTAGTGGCGAAGAATTACATTCATCAGATGATGATGACGAGGAAGAAAATTGTAATTATACAAGTTCGGATGATATTTCTGACTTGGCAGAATTTATTGATAATATTAAAAAATCAAGCGGCATAAGCATGAATAATAATCATGCAAATAAGAGAAACCATATGAATAATTCAAATAAGAGAAAGTCCGTATCACCAAGCACTCCAAATAAGCCAAAGTACGTGTCACAACCAAGAAATGTCACAGCCACCACTAATCTTGGAAGCTTAAATAATTCAATTATACAAAGAATACATAATTCTTCGCCTCCTCCGCCGCCATCAAGAAAACCAGATTTTGATTGGATTTTAGATGATGATGATAGCGAATTGTTTTCTAGAAATTTAATTAACATTAAAAAAGATACAAAAAAGCATGAAAGATGTATATTTAAATCAATAGATAATTTGCAGAACAAGGAGGACATTAATTTAGAAAATAATATTGTAAAGAAATGTTTAAAAAATATTCATACAATTAATAGTGATGACGATAAAGAGAATTCAGAAAGCTCTTGCTCAGAAGATATATTAATCATTGGTGTAAAAAGATATAAGAAAAAAAACAAACAAAATAATAATAATAATAAATTATTAGAAAAGAAACTTAATGGTGGCGGTGAATTTTCTACGCTGGCGAATCACAAAAAACTTGAACCATCACTGACATTACCATTAGAAATCGAAGAATCCCTTAAAGAACTGTGTCGTATTGCTGAATTAACACCTGAGGTTCATCTAGAAAAACTTATCGAATTGTTTGAAAAATTATATTTAGAGATTGATGTCAATCGGGATTGGCCTTTACAATCAAAAATATTAATGTCACGAATATCAAGGATGATAAAAACTTGGGAATTGAATGGCATAGAAAAGATCGAGAATTCAAGTAAATTGATTGGGAGAGTTTTCTATTTTTTGACTGAATTGTTTAAAAATATTCCCAAAGATGTGTTTTTAATTAAAAATTTTGTCGAAGTTCAATATACATTAATTGACAAAATTTACAACGTACTTATTAAAAATCAACAAAAACAAAATTACAATAATAATTATCTACTAAAAATTATACTACCCGATCTCTTGCCAGAATTAGAAAAGTTGTTGGATTATTTAATATTAAAGAAAAGCATTATTTATTATACTACTTCACAAAAATTTCTATTAAAGATGGTTTCATCAATCTTACTATTAATAGAAAAAAAGTCGATGTCTAGCATTCAAGGGTTATTAAAAAACCTATTACAAGTATATTATAAAATAGTAACATTTCTAAACATATCACCTGAGAATAAGGTAATTAGTTATTAATTTTTTTTTCTTTTCTTAGGAAATATACTCATATAAATGTTTTAAAATAGGGAAGTATTCTTCAAATCATTCAATGGATAAAACATAACGGAAATTTAGGTAAGTAATATATATAGCTTCATTATTATTTATTTATTACAAATTTTCTTTTATTATAATGAATGTTTTATTATAATTATTTTAGAATTATCACTTCGTGCTATAGCAGCTGATTGTAATCGATCACTTTCAAAATAAATTATTATTATAATTATAATTATAATTATAATTATTATTATTATTATTATTTATTATTATTATTATTATTATTATTATTATTATTATTATTATTTAGAGATTAGACGCATGCACGCATATTTTATATATAAATATATAATAAATACTATGTATTCAATTAAAACAAAAATTAAGAAAATATGGAAGGGATTTATCTGTCCTTTTCTTTTCCAGATGTAGCCATGATTACCATAGAAATAAAAATAATTTTGATTCATTTCTCTATCACTAGAAAAAAAAAATTTTTTTTTGAATTTTAGAAAAATTAAAAATTAAAAAAAAATGTCTCAAACAGCCAAAGTAACTTTAGTATCAGCATTAATACTTACCATAGGAACAGTTTGGGGTGTTCACTATTTACAAAGAAAAGAACGAGAGGTAAGTTATATATAATTTCACAAGAAATGGGGGTTTTTTTCTTTTCTCGCTTTTACTTGACTTTATTTAAACATAATCTGAATAGTTTATGCATGCAGGAATATTAAGAGAAGAGGAGCAAAAATCCAAAAAAGAAATCATGGAAAAAAATAAATTGGAACTTGAAAAACAAATTATGTTACAACGTGAATATGAACAAATTCAACCAGTACTAAAAAACAACAATAATGATAATAACATTAAATAATTCCAATCGTTTTTATTTATTTATTATTAACCTTTTTTAATTCTTTAATGCCAATTATCTTCATTCTTTGCTATAATCGCCCCAGTTTTCATGGATCTCTTTAATACTCTTATATATTTTAATGTCATAAATTTCTATATTAATAATCGCGTATTTTTTGGCAGTATCCACAGAAAACAATTTGAATATACACTGTGGGAGGATACAAGCTTTTTAATCATTAGCAATGTATATATAAACAACAACATATTATTATTTTAATTTATACAAAAATCTTTTTTGAAAAAATATATAATTAACTAAAAAAATTTTTTAAGCAAAACATTCCAATAATTTATTCATTATCCATTCATCCATCCGTTAAATTAAAAGTGTCATTTAAAAGTAATTCAATAGCTGCATTAACATTTCCACCAGAAGCTAATAATGCGCGAATATTTTTCTGTGCATCCCAAAAACCCATATCGTTCAATTGTTGTAATTGAACTTGAAATCTTTCTTCGGGTTGTTGTGGGATAGTTGTTTGTGGTGGAACGTCTCCCCCCAATCCAAATAACAACGATGGATCAATTGAAAAAAATGGTTGTTGTTATTGATTATTAGTGTTTAGATTCCCAGTAAGATTTATTGTGGCAGCAGGATTAAGAAGACTAAAAAAAGGATTATTAATTGGTGGTGGAATGGCGGTGGTGGGTGTGGTAGTGTCAGTCGTTGGTGATTTAGCACTATTATCATTATTATTGGTCGATGGTGTATTTGTTGTGTCAGTTGTAGGATTCATTGTGGAAGGATTTGTAGGAAGCATACTTGGACCATAACTTCCAGGGTTACCCATTAATGAACTTAAAGTTGCTGTACGACGAATTGATTCTGGATTTGATAATAAAGAATGAAATTCAGGATCTTGTGTTACCTGCCTAAGTTGAGGTGCCATGCTTGCAAGTTGTGGATTCATAGCAATTACATTATCTGTGAATTGAGGATCTTGCATTAATTGTACAATGTACTGCATTAAAGCAGAGTTATTAAGAATATTTTCCGTCTGATTCCAGTTTGGTATACTATTATTACCACCACCACTAAATGAATTATTAGTATTAGTACCAAAATTCCCCCCACCTAGTGTTGCACCAAATGGAGGTATATTATTTTGATCATGTGTTGATTGGTTATTGGTAGTATCTGTTGTTGTTGTTGGTTAAGATGAAACTAATAATGTTTTGAAAAACAAATCAATATGGTAAATAATAGAAACACTTGGCTTTTAATAAACATCTTGTTTTATAAAAACAATATAATAGAAAACATTTAACATACCACGAGCTAAACTTCTCACCATGTGAACTGTGTGTCCCTCAGCAATTTTACAGGTTTCAAGTGTATCATCATCTTTTAACACTTTACCAGAGTATATTAATCTTTGTCTATCTGCAGTAATGTCGCTTTTTTCTACAATAAATTGTTTAAATTCTAAAATAGTTTTTGATGTGTCTATAGTTATTGTATATTTTATATCATTAGAACACTTTACGTTATTGTCATTTCTGGCATTATGGTTTGTTTATTTATTTAAAAAAAAAACATTAAATCGTAATATTATTTGATTTAGAGTGTTTTTTGTCCTAATTCATGACCGTTATTATTATTAGTAGTAATAATATTATAATGTGATCATTCCGAATTGGGGCAACCGAATTTCGGACGGATTCAATTTTGGGGCACAAAGTTTGACCATAGTAATAAGGTAATTATTAAAACTGTTGACAAGATTTTTTTAAAAATTAGTTAAACATAAAAAGAAAGTGCCAGTTTCAAAATGAGGTCAAATGTTATGATTCAAAGATATATATATGTATGTGTAAATTGTAAATTCTAAATAAAAAAAAACTAAATTTTTACAAAATGGCACAGACTTATAATGCCAGCGGACAATTCCTTGAGGAAACCTCAGGCATAGAACATAATATAAACACAATTCAAAAAAACATTGAAAGTATTCAAACGTTACAATCAGTTGTTCTGCTGAGTACTTCAGCACAACAGGAGGATATCAATATTCAAAAACGTGAAAAGCTTATGTCGAGTACCAAAAATCTACTTATTGAAACCAAAGATCGTATTAAAAAAATCGAATATGAAAATGTTAAATTACCAAAAGATGATCCAAATATCAACCTTAGAAAACAAAGATTTCAGTTTCTCAAAGAAAAATTTACCAATGTGCTCGACAATTATCGTGATGTTGAAAATACTTATATGAGACAACAAAAAGATAGAATGACACGTCAATATAGAGTTGTCAAACCACATGCAACTCAAAATGAAATCGAGAGTTACTTGAACAATCCATCAAGCCAACCGCTTTTTCAACAAGCTGTAACTACAGGTGAAGCTCGTGCAGCATTTGCAGAAGTTCAAAAACGTCATGGTGATATAAAACAGATTGAAAAAACAATCGAGGAATTAGCAGATTTATTCCGTGAAATGCAATTACAGGTGGAGGAACAAGATGCTATGATTTTAAATATCGAAGAATCTGTCGGTGATACCCTTGAAAAGACTAAACAAAGTAAATATTATATTTATTTAATCGCGTCTGATGTATATATAGATTAAAAATGCACGCTTGCGAATAAATAAATAAAATTTTTTTAGGTGAAAGCTTTCTTGAAAAAGCACGCGAGAGTGCAACTCAAGCAAGAAAAAAGAAATGGATCTTTTTAGCAATTATAATTACCGTTATTCTTATAATTGTAATAATTATAATAATGCAATTTGGTGTTAACGTAAGTGTACAAGCTTCATCTCCATCTGCAGTTACTGTGACAGCAAGTCCTTCCGGATTATTTCCTTCAACCCCCTAATAAAGCACATATATTCATATTGTATACTTACTATATGATTGATTATTCATATACCTTTTAATTTTAATAATTAATTTTTTTGATTTTTGTAAATTTTAATTTAATTTATTTTCTTTTCCAAAAATAATCCATTATTTAAATTATTTAAACAACCATTCAAAAAATTTCTACTTGACATTATTGTTTAAAGCATATAAATAAATTTTATTGATTTATAATAAACAATGATGATAAAATAAATAAATATGAAATATTATGCTATTAAATTAAATGAAGGAAAAACTTGAAAAACAATTGGTTAATGAGGATAATGTTAAATACATATATGGCAAAAACAATCAATATATTAATGAAGTTAAACTTTGAATATTAGAGTCATTGTTGGGGGGGATGAGGCAAAAGCATTTTAATATTAACTATTTTGTATATATAAAATTTTGAAACAAATGATGCAAATACCAAAAAAAAATGAAAATTTAACACTCCTGGTTAGCTGGTAGTTTTAAGTGGTTGATATAAATAAACACGTGTAACAGAAAAAACAACGCACCTTTTCCATAGATCTTTTGGAATATTCTGAAACGTAATTGGATTGAATAAGCCACACGCACAATTCATCCATCCATGTATAACGGCCGATTTTTACCACCTATCTCATAATACTAATTTGTACAACATTTATTTGCTAAATTTAGATGCGTCATTGTTCACATGGAAAAAATTTTTTTCTGCTAAATGGCAAGAAATCGACAAGGATAGTGATAGAATGTGAAGTAAGGATTTTAATTCGTGTAAACGGGAGAATAATGGATTTTTATTTAACGGTCATATAAAGATTATTCTAATGAATAACACGAGAAAACAAACTTTCATGAGCAATCAAGTACAAAGTTTTGCCCATGACTCATGTCCCTATTCATATAAGCGAAAATTTTTTTTTACGCCAGATTGACATTTGAGATTTTTTTTGAGGGCTAACAATTTTTAGAAAATTAATTTGATTAATAATAATTTGCTAAAAATCTTCAACCAAATTTGTATGGCTGTATGCTAGACAAATTTAAAATTACATCATTCGTATTTTAATATTTTATATATAAAAAACTCGGCTTTGCCTTTATTTTATAAATTACCGCAGTAATATTTATATTATTTTTTTCTCGGTGAACTTCGGACTATTTAAGTATAGGTGGCGTGAATAAATTCTCTTTATATTTATATTTATATTTATTTATATTTTTGTAATTCAAATTAATTTATTATTAATGACCTTATTTATACTATTTATACACATTTATAACTATTGATTATATTATAAACTATATTTAGTTTCCAAAAAAAAATATAAAAAAAAGAAAAAATCTTCTAGGGAGAAAAAACTCAAATTTTGATTGAAATTTTGACAATTTTACAAATTTTTATTATTATTCCAAGAAAAAAACAAACAAATAATAATAACAACATATATATTATTAATATAATATTTTTAATCTTAGTTATTATTATATTAGAATTTAAAATTTTTTTATTAAGTTTTATTTATTCAAATGTCGACAGTTATTTCTTCTAGCCCCCTTGCTCTAAGACCTGATTCTTTAAGATTCCAAAATTTTATTGGAGAAAAGAAGAACAAGCCATCTATCACCACCACTTCCACCACCTCCATTTCTTCTCCTAGTTCTAGTGTTTCGTTAAATATGTTTCAAGAACATGACGAAGAAATATTAAACAATAGTGATATCGAATTCGAAGAATTCGATTATGATAATTATAATTATAATAATAATAATAGTAATAGTAATGAAGTAGCTGAAGGTTTAGGAATAAAATTAAATTACGATATTAATATTGAAGTAAATGGAAAAGAGGGAAAAGATAGCATCGAGAATATAAATGACAATGACGATAATATTGATAATGATCAAAATAATAACAAACTCAACAATGAAAAAACAAAAAAAAACCAAGCTCCTCATTTTGAATACGTCTCCTATGACAAAGTTCAAGATCTATATGAACAAAGAAAAGGTCATTTCTATTTCATCCCTGAAGGTTTCGAGCCTGTCTTGGTACCAAATGATACAGCAGCTCAAACAGTAACAAATCTTTTGGAATCAACAAAACCGGTCTCAGCTACTCCAAATGTATCAAGAATGCTTCCTGACACCGATGTTCGTCTTCCTTCATATGCACTACCATGTGGCGTCAATACAAATTCAAAGAAAGACAATGCTAACGCAAACAAGGCCAACAGCAAACCAAAGAAAACTCCACGACCTCCGAACGCCTTTATCCTCTACAGAAGAGCAAAGCAACCAGTTATAGTTGCTCAAAATGCTGGAATCTCTAATAATGATGTTTCCAAAGAAATTGGAAAAATGTGGCATGAAGAATCTTTGGAAGTTAGACTCAAGTATCAGAAGTTGGCAGAAAAGGCCAAAGAAGAGCACACAAAGAGATTTCCTGAGTACAAATATAGACCTCGCCGTCCACAAGACAAGAAACGTCATTTACAACAACCACCACCACCAACAGCTCACGTAGGGAAAGAGAGTTACAAAGGAAGTGAAGAGGGAAGAGAAGGAAAAATAAACAATCTTAATATTAACAATGTTGATAATAGCAATATTGAAGATAACAATATTGATAATAGCAATATCGATAATGATATTAATGATTTCTTAATACACAATTATAATAATAATGGATCATTCTACAACAACGACAACAATTATCATCATCAAGATCAGCAATATCAATTATTATCAACTCAAGCACAAATATTCTATCAAAATCAAATGAACGAAATTCCACAAATTAACGCATTCTCAGCAATTGATAACAATACTGATATTGATCTTACTAGCAATGATATTGACGGTGATAATAACAATAATCAATTTACCGCATATCTTCAAAACAATAATAACCTGATGGATTTCTCGCTATTTCAAGAACTTCAACAAAGCCATAACATTGACTTCAATAATTATAATCTTCCCCTCGCTTATAATTACAATAACAATAATCTCTTTGCAACAAAACCTGATTATTAATTAGTCTTAAGATTTATTATTATTATTTTCTATTTTATAATAATCACGAATAATATGTATATATAATTTTCATTATTAATAATTTTTCATAATTTTTAACTTACAAATTAATTTATTAGTCATATCTGTTAAAAAAAAAAAAGCAAAAAAAAATTTTATATGCAATTTTTTTTTTTTAAGATTTGTTTTATGAAGATTCTATTTACATTTTACATTTCATTTAATTAACAATAATATAATAATAATATGCAAAAAAAAAAAACGATAAGATTTTTTTCCATATTTTCATTTAATCATCATTACTTCTTTAGCATCAATTTCACACATTATAAATATATTTACACACACATGTATATTTGATACACTCGCACTTTCACACTCACACACATATGCATATACTTTCATTCATTATAATACATGATTTATAATTTGTTTTTTTAAAATAATAAATAAAAAGGCGCCAACTTTTAAAATAAAGTATCGGTGAATCCCGAATTTTTATCTGTTTTAATTAATATAAATGGCTATATTTTTTATATGACTCGTATGACTCATTTGTATCCATCATTTCATTACATGACTCGATATTATTCATTATACTTATTTATTTATCTGACGAAAAATTTTTTTTTAAAGTCGTTTCAATATTATTATCATCAACGTTTATTATTTATATATAGTGACATCATTAACGTAATTAATGATTATAATTATTATTTATTAAAAAGTACTATGTTTCTGTCATATACAAAAAAAAAATATCCCATATATAATATGTATTACTTCTTTCTCCTCTCAACCTCTCTTCTTACTTATCCCTGAATTATAATTTTAATATCTCCTTGATGATGATGATGGACTGGATGATCTTTCACGTCTTCTACTACTCCCAATCCTACTTCTAGTTGATGTACGATCTCTTGTTTCTCTATCTGGCAAACTAACAGTTGTATTGACAGGTGGTCTTATAAATGCAAAATCACAGAATAACGTTTTACCAAGAAATTTTGTTCCATTAATTCCATCAATTGCTTTCTTTGCTTCTTTATAAGTTTCATATTCAACTAATGCATACCCCTATATGCGTATATAAAATTTTTTTTGAGGAAAAATAAATGTCAAATTCTTAAAAAATTACACGTGCGTGAATAAATACCTTTGCATAACCAGTTCTACGATCTAAATTGAGATGTAAATTTTGTATTTCTCCATAATCTGCAAATTTATCTGTGACATCATCTTCTGTAGCTTCTTCATGAAGTCCCACAACAAGAACTATCCATCCTTCAACAGCTATATATATTATATTAATTTTTATTTTTTTTAAAAAAATTAAAAGTTATCGTGAAATTTTGAAAAAATCAAACATTAACATCTTTGTGCTCGTCCTGTTACAGCATCTTCTTCCGTGGTCGATTCAAATTGATCGTATTTAGCGCTAGACCTCACACCATCTCTAGATTCTTATTCAAGAAAGAAAAAAAAAAGTATAAACTTCGAATCTTTTTTTAAACATTATTAATGAAATTTTAAAAAGTAAGATTTATTTAATAAAATACCTTTTGAATCACTTCTAAAACCACGTCCTTTACGTTTAACTGTAGACGATCTAGAGTCTTTAACGCATAAAAAGATTAAATTAAAAAGCAATCAATATCAAAATTTTCAATAAAGTGAATAAGCGTCACTCTTTCAAGATCTAAAAGATCTATGACGCAATTTAACATTAACCTTCATCAACCATCATAGCATCATCATCATCGCCAGTATTTATGTCTATATCATAGTCTGTCATTGTTTTTTTTAATTATTAATGTTTGATAAAAATAGTTTAATCTATTAAATGTAACACAACAAATTGATATGGTACAGCGGCTATAGATATAATAACATCTTTCAAATAGTATTAGTTTGATCTGTAAGATCAAAGTATCACGTAATTAAAAAAAAAAAAATATATAAAAAAAAATATATAAAATAAAAAATGAAACTTGAATTCAAATCAAAATCAATAATAACAAATAATGGTGGATTGTGCGTATGTTGATTTATCTCCCGATGCAAAAGAACTTGATCAACTTGTTTCCCAAATGAAAGAATTGATGGTAAAATGCATGTATATATATTTTTATATAAAATATAAAATATAATTTTTTGCGAGAGAAAATTTAATATCTAATCCTTCTCACGTAACTCTTAATAAATGTTTCCGTCTTAATTAATTTAGATGTAGATGAATGTAAAAAACCAGATTCATTGGTTGTAAACTATAAACCACCCGAAGAATTAAAACAATTAATAGATATGGATTTACCATATAATGGTATTGGTATCAATGGTAAACCAGAATTAATTATTTGATAGTATTTTCTAAATTTTCTTTTTAATTTTCTATATTTTTTCATTTTTTCATTTTTAAAAAAGGATTATTTCCAATAATACAAGATATATTAAAGTATAGTGTTAATACATGGCATTCTGGTTTTATGGATAAATTATATGCTGGAACTAATCCGGTTGGAATCATATCAGAAATGTTAATGGCTTTCCTGAATGGAAATTCTCATGTTTATCATGATTCACCTGTGTTCACATTGATTGAATATTCTGTTTCTGAACATCTTGCTAAATTGTTAGATATGGGCGAGGTAATTATTACTATTACTATTATTATTTTATCACTGCCGTTACTATTATTTAAATTTTTTTTTCAAAGAAAATACATTTATAAAATTTTTGTTCTATATTAAAAATAAATAATCATAGAATTCTGGTGGTATAACATGTGCAGGGGGGGCATTTTCTAATCAATTGGCAATGATAACAGCAAGAAATAGTTTATATCCCGAGTTTAAAACAAAAGGATACTTTGGATTTAATAAGAAGTTAATGATTTTCACGTCTAATCAAGGTCACTATTCAATTGAGAAGACAGCAATGACATTGGGGTTGGGTACTGAAAGTGTGATTAAAGTACCATGTGATGATCAAGGAAGAATGAAAGTTTATGAATTAGGTACATGTTGTGTCATATATTTCATATAATCACGTAATTGAATATTCACTTAAAAAAATAATTGTTTTTAGAGCTTTTAATCCAACAATCCTTTGCACGTGACGAAACTCCATTCTTCGTAAATGCAACAACCGGTACCACAGTACTTGTATGTATTATTTGCTAATATACTTTAGTAAATTATAATGAATATTTATTATTATCATTCAACTAAATTATATTTAATAATGACATTAGGGATCATTTGATCCATTAAGAGAGATAGGGAAAATTGCTAAAAGGTATAATTTATGGTTTCATGTTGATGGATCATGGGGAGCAAGCCTAATATTTTCAGAAAAATATAAAAAATTGATAGATGGAACTAGTTTGGTTTGTTTATATATATATATATATATATCTCCATTCAGTTTTTATTAAAAAACACATGATTAACTAATTATTTATTTTAATTCAAACCATTTTTTAAAAGGCTGATACATTAGTAATCAATCCTCATAAAATGCTTGGAATACCGTTACAATGTTCGTTTTTACTCGCAAAAGATAAATCAATATTTTCAAAGAACAATTCACTGGAAGCAAAATATTTATTTCATGGCAATAAATATGATTTAAGTGATGGTACAGTTGGTTGTGGTAGAAGACCTGATGCTGTCAAGTTGTTTATTGGATGGAAAATATTTGGTATAAAAGGTTATGGTAGTCGTATCGACCATGCTTTTCAGATGACAAATTACTTCGTCGCGTTGATAAAAAAAAACAATTCAAAATTTAAATTGGTATTGGACGAACCGCCAAGTTTACAAACTTGTTTTTGGTATATACCTAGCAAAGAAATATTGGAATTAGAAAAATTAAATCATCAGTTGTATAAAGATAAATTATCAAAGATCACAAAAGAAATACATAAAAAAATTTATGAAAATGGAAAATACATGATTGATTATGCACCAACAATTCTAAAGGGTGTTGAATTACCTTTTTTTTTTAGAGTTGTAGTGAATTCACCTTCAGTATGTGAGAAAGATTTGGAAAATTTGTTAAAGGAAATTGAAAGTATTGGTAAAGATGTTACTATGAAACTATTTGAAAATATTAACAAGTCAACCGATCGAAAAATTAATGATAGATAAAAATAAATGGTATTAAATAAAAAAGGAAGAAGATTCATAATTTATTTAAATCATGTAAAAAGAGCATCTTCATCTTCATCATTAGATTGTTAAAAAAAATTTTAAAAGATATTTATTTATTTAGCATTATTTATGGAATGTTTATTTTTTTAGAAATTATGAAATTTCATTAATTAATGTAGAATTATACTCGTACATACATTTGTATAAAGAATAGAATCCAAAGTACTTGTTAATTATTTTACCAACAATAAATTTATTGTTATAATGATCAACTGAAGCTCATGTTTAAAATGATCATTGTACATCACCCAACTATATAAATGCTATACCAAAACGGTTAAAATTATCATGCATCAATGATAGTTGCTCATTTAAAGATAGCAGCCTATTTAATAACCTAGGTTTACAACTGAGTACATGTACATACACCTGCCCAGAAAAAATGTTCTAATCGCCTAGACTCAAATTTTATCAGATGAGCCTGACTTGCAACTATATTGATACCGCACGAGATTGATTCAACCCAGAACCGTTACCATGCATCAATAACCATTGCTCTTCATTTAAAGCATGGGGTTAACCATGCCAAGTATGTGTGTACCTGTTATCTTGATAATTCATAATAAAATACCAACGATGCATGGAAACCTGCAAGTTTACATGTAATTGCATATTCATAAAATATCCCAAAAACCTGGAATTTTGCCAAACCAAGCCAGACTTGCAATTACATCAATATATTTGCACGGTAGTTAACTGCTTAGCCAAATATCAGTGCTTCTTCATAATAAAATAAAATTGCTCCAATATCTGTTGTCCCCTGGCCACCACACGGAGGTGCCAGGT